CTATCCTAGGTTTTTTTCGTATATTGTCTTTAACTGTGGTAAAATATAGATAACATGGGCTTCCAGGTGGCCCTAGTGGTGAGAGCTCGCACGCCAATGCAGGAGACCTAAGAGATGACACATCTGCACAGCGTGGCTTGGCTGTGTCTGTGATTCTTTAGGGAGGTGGGGATGAAGGGGTACCCACCTGGTGACTCGAAACTTGTTTGAGGTGGACTTGAGGATTCCCGCACAGTTTGCAGTCTGTTAGACCAATGTTAGGACTCGCTCACATTTCCTGAGTTCTGGCTGAATTCAGTTGGGATAAATGCCCAGCAGGAGTACTGTCAGGAGGTGAAAAACGGGCAGTAAACATCACAGGGGAAGTCAGACGGCTATTACATTTGAAAAGTAAGATGACGCCAGGGTTGAGGCTCCCAGAGCCAGGACACACACACACACAGACAAGACATACACACAGGCACACGCATACACACAGAGGAACACACACACGGATAACACATACACACAGGCACACACATACACACAGACATATACACACACACACAGACAAGATACACCAACAAGCACACACAGAGGTACACACACAGACAAGACATACACACAGGCACACACATACACACAGACGTATACACACACACACAGACAAGATACACCAACACGCAAACACACACAGAGGCACACACACAGACAAGACACAGAGAGAAAAGACACACACACGCTCAGCGGGGGGTGCCTCTGTGTGCTGCCCCCGTGTGAAGTGAGCAACAGGGCCATCCAGACAGGCGTGAGAGAAGCCAGAGGCCCCTCTGCGGCCGGAAGGGCCCGGGAGGGTGGTGATAGGAGCGACCGCAGAGACAGGGAGAGGCCCGCAGGAGCCCACAGAGCCGCTTACACCAGGGGCCCCAGCGGGAGGGTGGAGAAGCCGGCTGGGAATGGACCGGCTCTCCCTGGGGTCCTGGCCCAGGCGGGCTCCAACTGGCTTTTCTGCCACCTCCAGACACTGGCTCTGTTCCTGTTGACGGGAGAACCTTCGGCTATGAAAACTCCCCTTGGAGAAAGTGCTCTCCAGCGTCCCACCTGAGGGAAAAGCAATCAAATCCGTGAAGCTGCTTTAACTTGAGTCCCAGCAGGAACAGGGGCTTCCCAGGTGGTGCCAGGGGTAAACAACATGCCTGCCAATGCAGGAGATGTAAGGACACAGCTGCATCCCTGGGGTGGGAAGATGCCCTGGAAGAGGAAATGGCAACTCAGTCCAGTATCCTCGCGTGGAGAATCCCAAAAACCAGGGGAGCCTTGCAGGCTACAGTCAATGGTATCATAGAAAGTCAGACACGACTGAAGCAACTTAGCATGCATGCACTCACAGACAGGGAAACGGTGTGGTTGCGAAAGGGGATGTTTCTCCCAGGATATAAAAGGCCTTCACTCATTCATCCACTCACCTCCAGGGGCTTGCACTTGGCACCAGGGGCAGTCGTGAGCTGCTGAGATCCACAGCAGATAAAACAGACCTGCTCTGCCCTCATAAACTCACGTGCTGGTCAGGAGAGGCCCACGAGAGGCGAGACAAGCGCGCACGAGATGTGCAGTGGGGTGGGCTGGCGGCAGGGAGCAGTCTGGAAGGAGCGAGCTGGCTGTCTGGGACAGAAGTGGGCTCAAACCCTGGCTCCAGCGTGCACTGGCTGCGCACCTCTCTCAGCCTGTCAGCCACTGGGGTGCGGAGAACAGGCAGAGCCTGGAATTCAGCAGTGCTGAATGAGTGGACGGAAAACCCAGCCTCACACACTCGTGAGAGCAGAGCGCTGGCTCACAGGAGGTGTCTCATCGAATTCCTGCAATGTCGAGGAGAGGGGTTTCCCACACCCAGAGAAGATGGAGGGTCACAGAAGACCCCAGATGAAGCTGTTGCTGGTGTCCTCTTCAGGACCAGAATGTTAAGCTGGGAAGGGATTATGAGAATGAAGACCTTATTTCTCAGACTCCCTTGCAGCTAGGCGTGACCACGTGACTCAGGCCAATAGGGTGTGAGCTGATATGGCACCTGGCATCCTGGCCACCTCCTCAGAAGACTCTTGCAGTGTGGTCTTTCCCTTCCCCACTTCTGCCAGCCTGCTTTTTGGGATGTTACTGTGAGAACCACGGTGAGGGCAAGGGCCACACCCTGGGGAAGGCAGAGCTGTGAGCAGGAAGGAGTTGGGGCCCCTGAAGACCTGGGGCCACAGAGCCACCCAGACTTTGGCAGATGGGGAATTAAACTTCTCTGGCTTAAGTTACTGTTGCTTTGGATCCTAGTCCAGGAGGGTATAAGGAGGAGGGCAGAGGCAGGTGTGCCCACTGCTTCCATGGGCCCTGCATCCATGTCCATGTTTTCTGACAGTCAGGCCACCAGTGATGGGGAAGGAGGTTCTGAGGCACTCTGGGTTCAGCCACAGCTCCAGAGAGCCCCTCTGCCCTTGTGCCCTGCTCGTGGGAAGTCCAGGCTTTTCACAATAACAAGAGTGTTTTTGGCCTTGTGAAATAGGCAAGAGGTACAGCTCACCTCTGCTCATCACAGGGTCCCAGCTGTTACCTCAAGATGCCTATGGCTCCAGCTTTGGATTTGTGATCAATCCAAGGTCAGGGTCAAGGGTTCAAGGGAAGACCAAGAGTGCAGGTGCCCAAGGTCCTAACAGCGACAAGAGAAAAAGGAACTTGGGAGGAGGAGATGTTACTATTGCTATTATCCCACCATTTCACTGACAAAGGGCCATACAGTCAAAGCTATGGTTTTCCCAGTAGTCATGTGTGGATGTGAGAGTCTGGACCATAAAGAAGACTGAGCACTGAAGAGTTGATGCTTTCAAACTATGGTGCTGGAGAAGACGCTTGAGAGTCCCTTGGACTGCAAGGTGATCAAACAAGTCAGTCGTAAAATCCTGAATATTCATTGGAAGGACTGATGCTGAAGCTGAAGCTCCAATACTTTGGCCACCTGATGCAAAGACCTGACTCATTGGACAAGACCCTGATGCTGGGAAAGACTGAAGGTGGGGGAGAAGGGGATGACAGAGGATGAGACGGTTGGATGGCATCACTGACTCAACGGACGTGAGTTTGAGCAAACTGCAGGAGATGGTGAAGGACAGAGGACCTTGGCGTGTATAGCCCATGGGGTTGCAGAGCTGGACACAACTTAGCGACTCAATAACAACAACAACATCCTACCATTTACATTTTCTAATAGTTCCATAAAGAGCACCCACTATTTTCATAATGAGAAGCTGTCCCTCCTGCCAACCATCATGCTTCACACAGCTCTCACTTTTCTTCTCACTAACGGCCGATTCTGTTGATGCCCAGGAGTATTCCAATTGCAGTGCAGTTCAGTGATGAACAATCAGCCTCAGATTCAAATCCTCTCCCATGTCCACGGGCTTTGTAAGACACTTCTCTCGGGGCTCAGGAGTTTGCCACCACCCCCTCCTTTCCTGTCCTTCAGGTGTCTCTGCAGGAGGAGGCGATGGTGCCCACCCTGCACCCAAGCCACACCTGGAGACCACTGGTTCCAGGGGGCTGCCGCCGGCCCTCAGATGCTCTTGACTGTCGGTTCACGTGTTTCTTCGTTCCTCATGCAACTGATCTGGCTCTTTTTGCAGAAGGTTATTTCAGCCTGAACATCTGTGGCCCCTTCCGGTGGCATTTTCTCACCAAGAACATACACTTCAGTTTGGAGCCTGTGTGCTCCAGAGGAATGGCAGTGCAACTTGCTGCTGGTTGTCAGACCCCTCTGACAGGAAAATCTCTTAACCAGGGCCCCCGTCTCCCCCAGCTGCAGGGTTTTTTCTTTGGTGGCGGCGGGGGGCGGGGGGGGCTCTCCTGTAGCACTGAAACAAGTGAACAAACAAAAGTGGGCCAGGAATGAGACACCCCAATAGGAATTGGAACAAGGTGCATGGTTAATCCATTCTGAGTACTGGGAGCCCAGATAAAGTGGAGAGGGTGGACGTAATGCCCACCTCCTAGGATGGAGACATGGCTTAGTGAGCCAGGTGGGGTTTCCATTGTGCCACATCGCACAGGGCTGGGCTCTGGTCTGGGGTCCTGCTCAGATGGTCCATGGAGTCCAGCTCCTTGAGACAGCAGATCTGAGGGCCTCGTGTCCTTGCTGGTGGCCAGATGGGGGCTGCTGTCTGCTCTGAGGCCACCTTCTCAGTGGACCCCCCAGCTTCACACCAGCTGCAGAGATCTGAGTCCTTCTCATGCCGTGAAGCATTCTGACTTTGCCTGAAGGAGGAAACTTTCTGCTTTTAAACAGCTCACCAAGATTGAGCCCACCAGATACTCTCTACAAAAGGTCACTGGCTTAGGACTCCAGCTACATCTACAAAGTCCTTTCACAGCAGCACCTAGCGTTTGATTGAAAAACCAGGGGCGGGTAGCTTTAGTCCGTTTTTAGAATTCTGTCCGCTGTACCCATCATACCCATATATTTTTTTAATTTGTGTATTTCAGAGTTGGATAGAAGATGAAAATCCATGCCCCTGCTGAGGGATAGTAATAATAAAGAGGATAACGCAGCTTGTGGCAGCAGCCAACACTCTGATGACGGTTCTGGCTTCAACTGTGATGGTTATGTGGGCTGGGATTGGTTGGGAAAAACAGGCAAAAGTTCTGCCTTTTTCCAAGTGTGTGATGAATCTGGCCCATCTCCCAGCCCCGCATCACTGCAGGGTGGGCTGGTCCAGGAGGAGACACCTGCACAAAGCCTGGCACTTGCAGGCACTCAGCTGTCACAAACACCACACCCATGGCCCACATGCTGTCGTGTCTTCTGCATGACCTTCTCCTGAGGACATTTTTTCACACGTGACTCCATCCTTGTTGGGCTTCCCTGATAGCTCAGTTGGTAAAGAATCTGCCTGCAATGCAGGAGACTCCGGTTCGATTCCTGGGTCAGGAAGATCCACTGGAAAAGGGAAAGGCTACCCACTCCAGTATTCTTGGGCTTCCCTTGTGGCTCAGCTAGTAAAGAATCTGCCTGCAATGCGAGAGACCTGGGCTTCACCCCTAGGTTGGGAAGATCCCCTGTGAAGGGAAAGGCTACCCACTCCAGTATTCTGGCCTGGAGAATTCCAAGGACTGTATAGTCCATGGGGTCGCAAAGAGTCGGACACGACTGAGCGACTTTCACTCCTTTCCATCCTTATTGAGGGCACCGTGGGCTGTTCAGCTTGCTCTTCCTGCACCCCCTGCATGGGCCACCCACTTGATTTGCTGGAAATGAGTTCCAAGGGCTGACGCAGGAGTCTTCCCATGCTGGCAGCTTCACGTCCAAGTGCTAATGACTTGCACTGGGGTGAACTTCCAGACCTCAGCAGGCTGTCAAGGATGCCATTCCCAATGTGGCCACAAAGTGGCAGCACAGACAGGCCTCCACTCAGGAAAGTTGACCGTTCTGGATGTAGATCCAGGGCATGGCCTCTTGGCTGTCCTGGACCAGTGTTCAGTGACAGCAGAAACATCACGATGGCCACAGCCATCCATTGTGTTTCAAGACACAGAAGCCATCACTGTTGATAGTCCCCATGCTGTATTGTGAGCTCTTTACAGCAGGCTTCCTATCTGATTCCCTTGAGTCCTAAGAAGAGATAGGAAATGAGGATTTGCACCTCTTTTATTCCTCAAAATAAATGATATAGTGCGAGTTTTACGGGTGAGCGGATCAATGCTGAGAGCAATTAGATGATGCTGCTCAAGGTCACAGCCAATGAGAAACATGTTTTAAATTTTATTAGCGTATAGCTTTTTGTTTCCTGTTGGAGTTTAATTGCTTCATAATGCTGTTAGTTCACAAAGTGAACCAGCAGAGTGTACAGATTTACAATGCTGTGTTAGTTTCAGGTAAACAGCAAAGTGATTCAGAAATATACACATATATTCATTCTTTTTCAGACTGCTTTCCCATATAGGTGGTAACGGAATATTGAGTAGAGACCCTGTGCTATACGGTAGGTCCTTGCTGGTTCTCTATTTTACATACGGCAGTGTATGTCACTTCCAAACTCCTCATTTATCCCTTCCCCATGACGTGTATTTAACTTTACTATAGAAAAGTTCACACAGAGAAGAAAATGATCCTAACTCCCACACTATTTATCATCCTGCTACCACCATTATCAACATTTTGCCTCTTGTGTTTCTTCCATCCTCATTTTTTTTTCCAGCCTGCATAATCATAAAGCAAATTCCAAATTCTGTGGCAATTTAAATACTCCCATTGGCATTTCCGAACAATTACAGTATTTTTATCTGAACTCTAGGCTACCTCACTTTAACAAAAATATCAGTAACTCCCGTCATCTAGCAGTTTATATTTGACTTTCCCCTTTATCTTACAGATGTCTTTTTTCATAGTTGGTTTGTTCAATCATGATTCAAATAGGTCCACACATTCCATCTTCTATGTGCTCTAATTCTTACTTCCTTTTTTCCTCTAGACCCCTAACTAATAAACTGGGTCACTTGCCCAACAGAACGTCTTACATTCTGGATCTGACTTTTTGCCTCCTTCTGCGAGTGGCGCAGAGCCTGACATTCAACGTGATGAATGCTCTTAATGGGAGCAAAGCAGGAGAACATAGGTTTGGTCCTCACAGATGGGACACGCAGGCAGCACTCTGTTGGGGACACCACGGGCTCTGCGACTCTGGCAGAGGGGACAGCAGCTGCGAGACACAAGTACAAACAGCACCTGGGCTCCTTCGTGGCCCGAGACAGAGGAGCACTGTCATTGCTAAGAGTAAGGAAAACACTTGGATTTTATGAGCTTTGGTTGTGTCCCCAGAAGCTGTCCTCGATGCTGTTTTGGTAGGCTTTGTGTCTTACTCGGAGAAAACTGGGCTTTCCTTGTAGCTCAGTGGGTAAAGAATCTGCCTGCCGTGCCGGAGACCCCGGTTTGATCCCTGGGTAGGGAAGATCCCCTGGAGAAGGAGATGGCAACCCACTCCAGTATCCTTGCCTGGAGAATCTCATAGACACAGGAGCCTGGTGGGCTGCAGTCCATGGGGTCGAAAAGAGTCGGGCACGACTGAGCGACTAACACACTGGAAAACGGAAGGTGGAAGAAGAGTGCAACCAACACACCACCCGTCTCCTCACCCAGCCCCGACGCCTCCGCGCTGGGCCACACACGCTTCCCGGTTTTGGCGTTAATAAACCCACAGTACCGACGGAGGGCCCCTCCGGCCACCAGTCCACCCTCTTGCGCCGCGAAGTCGCCGGCAGGACGGGCGGTGACCGCCTAACGCTGTTTTAACCGACTTTCCTGGAGCCCTGCGGTCGCCCGTACACGAGTTTTCGTCCTTGACCTATTTGCCTTTAGCCTACACTGAGCACCCAGAGTCTGGCTCGGTCCCAGGAGCTCGGGCTGTGAGGCAAAGGACAAAAGCCCTGGCGCCTCGCCACCTCCCAGAGCAAGAAGCGCCCCGAAACATGAGGCACACGTACAGAACCGGGAGGCCTAAGTGGAAACCGCGCTCGAGAGTCTCCTCGCCCGCTCAGTCCGCACTTCCGGCGCCCTCCCCCATGCTCTCTCTCTATTGGTTCTTTCCTTGACCACGCCCCTCCACGGAGGAGTCTGTTTCCTTCACCTTTCACCTCAGCTTCACTTTCTGGGACCTCTCAAGGCCTCAAACCCCACTCATCGCCCAGACCGGCAATTATTGGTGAACACGGCCTGTCCATCAAAGGAAGAACGGTGGGGCATTGGCTGAGGGGAAGCAATTGGGCGGGATAAGCATGAAAAGAGCCTCGCGCATGCCTGGTGCGCGCGCGCAGTGCCGGCAGCAGTCATGGCGGCTCGGTGCGTGCGGCTGGCGCGGCGCAGCCTCCCGGCTTTCGCGTTGTCTCTCAGGTAAGGGGCGCCGATTGCCAGGCTTAGGAGGGGCGCGGTGCCCCCGCTGGCTCGGACGCGAACCCTGCCCGGATCCGGCCCGGGCGTCGTGGCTGGGCTTCCCTCCGGGGGGGCCTGCCCGGCCACCCCTCTGTCGGTGCTGCCCGCGGGGCGGACGGGACGGCGCCCCGCGCGAGGCCGCGGTGGCGAGCGGCCTCATTGCGCCCGGCCCGACCCTCCTCCACCTCCGCGTGCTGCGGAGTCGGAGCACAGAAGGGCCGCAGCCCCTACCTAACCCGCCGTGGGGAGAGCCGCTGATTTAGAGCATTGACGCTGCGGCAGAGGTCACGAGGCCCTGCCCTCTCCTTGGCTTTTCTTTTGCCTTTTTTTTTTTTTTAAACCTGCGGTTTCTGCCGTTTCAAAGTCCGGTCTCCTAACTTAGTTTAGCCCGTGCGTAGCGGACTCATCCTGAAGCTGAAACTCCCAATACTTTGGCCACCTGATGCGAAGAACTGACTCATTGGAAAAGACCCTGATGCTGGGAAAGATTGAAGGCGGGAGAAGGGGAGGTCAAAGGATGAGATGGTTGGATGGCATCACCGACTCAGTGGACATGAGTTTGAGTAAACTCCTGGAGTTGGAGATGGACAGGGAGGCCTGGCTTGCTGCAGTCCATGGGGTCTTAAAGAGTAGGACATGACTGAGCGACTGATCTGAACTAGCACCTTCCACGTTGGGGGTAGCTTTGGAGAACCAGGCTATCTGTTAAGAGAAGCTGCTCTGGGCCGAACACGGGGTAGAAGCTGCGCGGAGCAGGACCTGGACTTTGCCCTCAAGGAGCTTTATTTAGTGATGGTGAGACGGTAAACGGGTCGGTAAACGGGGACGAGGACAGGGCGAGGGGTTGAAGCTACGATTCTAGCCTGATCCATTGTGTAGGCAGCGTGGAAACAAACCTACCTGGGGAGTCATGAGTGAGGAGAGGCTGTTGGCTCAATTTGCGATTTTTGTAACTGGCATTGATTGCCAGGACGTGTGTGCGGGCTCAGTCCCTTCAGTCGGGTCCGACTCTTTGCGGTCATTTGGATTGTAGCCAGTCAAGCTCCTTTGTCCATGGGGATTTTCCAGACAGGAATACTGGAGTGGGTTGCTATGCCCTCCTCCAGGGGATCTTCCTGATCCAGGGATTGAACCGGCTTCTCTTACGTCTCCTGCATTGGCAACTGGGTTATTTACCACCAGCGCCACCTGGGAAATCCAGTTGATTGCCAGGAGTGCGCGCATTTCTGCCTTTTGTGTAAGGAGGCTCAAGTAGGGGAGAGAGCAAATTGAACTGTGTGCAGAGCTCTGGGAGTGACTGAGTTCTGGGAGCCTCCCTGCAAACCCAGACGGGCTGCTGCAGGGGGGGGTCTGCTGAGTGGAGCGGACCCAGAAGGCCGTGACTGTTACACCCAGAGGCCAGGGCGGCTAGAAGCTAAGGCAGGTCACAGCAGCACACTCCGTTTTTAGATGATTAGTTTTTTAACCGCAGAAGTGAAAATAGCAGTATAAAAGTTATTGGTCTTCACCCCCATGTTGTTGTTCAGCTCAGTTTTGTCCAGCTCTTTGCCACTGCATGCACTGGAGCCTGCCAGGCTTCCTTGCCTTCACTGTCTCCCAGAGTTTGCTCACACTCAGGTCCATTGAGTTGGTGATGCCATCCAGCCTTCTTTTCGTCTGTCCTCCCCTTCTCCTCCTGCCCTCCATCCTTCCCAACATCGGGGTCTTTTCCAGTGTCAACTCTTCACATAAGTATTGATGACAGACTAGTGTATCCTTTTATTCTCCTCAAAATAGGACTTCTGGTTTGTGTTTATAAAACTGGAGTCATGTTTTGTGTATTTCTCTAAGTTGCGTGACTTCCGGCACAGTAGCCCCATGGTGTGGCCAAAAGATGGCAGGTTAACACTGCCCTCTATTTGGTGGCTGCTCAGTGTTCCAGACCACGGAAGCAACAGTTTGTTCAGCCGTGTCCTTCTGAGCAGTATTCTGTTTCCAGCTTTTCATCCTGGAAAACATCTGTACCTGCCGCCTTAAACACCCTTGTACACATATTCTATGTACCCTTAGCTTTCCTGTTCATTGAGGCAGCTTTCTTTAATCTGGGACGGAAATTGAATGTAATTTATTTTCAGATTGGTCTGTGGCATACTTTAGAGCTCCACTGGACCTGTTGAACAGATCCGTATTATTCATTAATGGCGCTGTGGCCTTGAGCTTATTACTTAACCTTTTCCACATGGGGATCAGATTGGGTAATATCCCAAGTCACTTCCAGCATTAGTTCTAGAGCTTTTTGTGTTTCCCCTGTACATACCACCCCGTGCTTTCCTGCCTCCACACCTTTGTTACACCCTTCCTGAAGTGGGTCTGTCTTGTCTCTTTGTGGCTTTGTATGTGAACTCTTGCCTGTTCTTCAAAGTCCCTCTGCCCAAATCCTTTCCCAGACTTCCATTTCTCGAAAGCTGGAAATATTCTACTCTGAGCCTCCCAAAGCACTTGGTTCCTCTTTTATCACTTTCAAACCCAAGTTACAGCTCTATGTATATAGATACCTTTTTGCATGACCATAAGTACCCTGTGGGCAAGATGTCTGCCCACGAGGCTTTGTAATGGACAGCAGCACTGGACCTCACCTCCAGTAGTAGCTCTTTCTTCAGCATGTGGTGGGGTCTGCATGATCAGGAGTTCTGAGAGTGAGGAGAAGGGGAGATTAGTACTGTAGCCTTGGTGCACTGACGTTTTAGTTTAGGCATGTATTGCAGAAGACTTATATAAGCAAATAGCTTCCATACATCATATGCAGTTTGCCTTTATTGTATCTAAAACAAATCCTTTCTCCCCCATGTAGCAAGTAGTTTTAAATTACCTTTGATTTCCAAAGTCGTCCATCTGACTTTAACAAGCAGAAGAATCATGATCTTAATTTCTGTCGTGTGGACTTGCCTTCAGGTCTTCTCCTCGGCTGCTGTGCACAGCTGCAAAGCAGAAAAACAATGGCCAGAACCTGGAAGAGGACGCGGGTCAGAACGAACAGAAGACAGATCTTCCCTCCACGGAGAAGACGCTCATAGAAGAGAAGGTCAAGCTGGAAGAGCAGCTGAAGGAGACCATGGTAAGGCTGTGGGCTCTCCTGAGGAATGTGGTCTGTGGAAATCCAGGTCCGTCTTCCGGGGATGTCAAGATGGCCTACTTGACAACAGAGGCGGAAGCCAGACGAATTCCGTCCCTGTCGGGTTCTACAGCAAGTTACTGCTGAAGAAGGGCTAGAACTCAAATCCGCTGTGACTCTGGTTGTCATGAGACTTATCTTCATGTGCTACATAGATTACATTGAATTAAGACTGAAAATGGTCTTTACAAGTGATGAATATTCAGTAGGGCCCTTAAGGCTGGGTCTTTGGGGGGACGAAGGTGGGAGCCAAAGGTAAAGTCACATGATGCTCTCCTCGGGATGTTGGAGTTTTATGAACTAATTAGTAATACAGATTATGACCTCGTGTGGAAAAGCGTTGTTCAGTTGCTCAGTCATGTCCGACTCCTTGCGACCCCATGGACTGCAGCACTCCAGGCCTCCTTGTCCCTTACCATCTCCTGGAGTCTGCCCAAATTCATGTCCCCCAAGTCGGTGATGCCATCCGGCCATCTCTTCCTCTGTCTTCACCACCACCTCCTGCCTTCAATCCTTCCCAGCATCAGGGTTTTTTTCCAGTGAGTCAGTTCTTCGCATCAGGTGGTCAAAGTATTGGAGCTTCAGCATCAGTCCTTCCAATGAATATTCAGGTTTGATTTCCTTTAGGATGGACTGCTTTGATCACTCTGCAGTCCAAGGAACTCTCAAGAGTTTTCTAGCACCGCAGGTCGATAGTATCAGTTCTTTGGCATTCAGCCGTTTTTATTGTCCAGCTCTCACATCTATATGTGACTGCTGGAAAAACCATAGCTTTGAATAGACGGACCTTTGTCAGCAAAGTAGTGTCTCTGCTTTTCAATAAGCTGTTTAGATTTGTCGTAGCTTTATTTCCAAGGAGCAAGCATCTTTTAACTTCATGGCTGCAGTCACCATCCACAGTGGAGCACCGTCCATTTTGGAGCACAAGAAAATAGTCTGTCACTGTTTTCATCATATCCCCATCTATTTGCCGTGAAGCACTGTGCTAGGGCTTTGCTAACCCCTTTGTTTGTGTGAATCCTCACACCAGCCCTGTGAGTCAGCCGTTAATACCCCTGTTTACAGATGAGGAAACTGAGGCCCAGGACTGTTTGGTAAAACTTCCCAAGGTCACCTTGCTGCCCAGGGGCAGGCCCACTGTCTGAGCCTCTGAGACCTTGCTCTTAACTGCAGCACTGGAGCCCCCAGAAAGCTGAAGGCAGTAACCTAGTGCCCAGAAGAAAAAGAGAAATGCCAGGAGATGGATACAATTACAGGAAGAGTTGGTGCAAAATGAGGAAGATACCAGAATTCTGATGATTATTACACAATAAGTGTTCCAACTGAACTGTAGCGGGGCAATGTTAAAAATACCACAGGTTCATTTCTGAGGTTTTTCCTCTTCTGTGGGGTAGAGGCCAAAGCTGTCCGCTCAGGGTTGTTCTCCTGACCCTCCCCTCAGGGTATGAGACCCAAGCCAGGTCAGCCCGTACCCTGGGTTCTAGGCTTCCCTTGAGCTGGAAATTCTGCAGAGGAATGAATGGTCCTTCCTTGAGAGGAACCATCAGAAGCAGGAGAAACTAGCAGCTTTTCTTGTGCTTTCCCCAGCTGTACACAGTGAGAATGACCGTGGGGGGTTATGAATATGTGATGCCTGGCCATCTTATTCCCCACGTGGTGGGAATAGTGGCACTGGTTAATTTACTTCTGTTTATTATGCAGCAGCTGTTTGTAATCCAGTCTCCAAAGTACTGATCGCTGCTGTTTGTATTTTGACTTGCAGTTTGTTATATCAGATGTGTTTACCTATGAATTTGTTCCAGATATATTTCATGTGAATTTTTCTTCCTTTTTTTTCTTTTTTTTTAAAGGAAAAATATAAGCGAGCTCTAGCAGATACTGAGAACTTGCGGCAGAGGAGCCAAAAATTGGTGGAGGAGGCAAAACTATATGGTAACTTTAAGCACTATATGATATTGATCCTGGGAGATAGGGACAAGGAAGGGGGGGGTGTGTGGTCTCAGACAACATGATTGATCAGGTGGGGAGGTCGGGTGGCTGCTGGTTGCATTCCCTCCAGTTGTTGAGATGAGTCAGCTGTTGCCTAGCAGGAGCAGAGCTGGCTTGTGACGCACACTCATAGTGGTGAGCGTAACTCCTTCAATAGGAGAGGCTCCTTCTCTCTCCCACACAAGGACCTCAGTGTGAGCCTGCAGGTACTCGCAGAGGTGCCCTGTGAGGCTGGGGTCCTCAGCCGGAGCAGCCCTGACGCTGGTCTCACTTAAGACCTCGTCAGTCGCTATCTGCATTGACACCGTTGGATCCTTCTGTCATCATGCTTCCCACCTTACAGTTGAGGTCAGTGAGGCTGAAATGATTTGCCACTAAAATGGCCATGGCACCAAGGCCCGTCTCCCTACCCCATATGTGTTGTGCTGATCACACAGAAGACCACCTGAGTACTTAGGGGACACAGCTTTCAGGCTCCCCGTTCTGGATGCAGAACCAACAAGAGGTTAAACCCTCTGCTCAAGGACAGAGCTTGAGTGCTTGCACGTTCAGCACAGACAACAGCTTCTCTCCACTTTTGTTGAGTGTACAGTTGATGTGTAATGTGTTGATTCCTGCTCTACAGCAAGGTGACTCAGTTACACATCTTTTTACTTCCTTTTCCATTATTCCCTGTCACAGGGTATTAACCGTAGTTTTCCATGCTACACAGTGGTGACCTGTGCATTCTGTATATAATAGTTTGCACATGCTCATCTTCTGTAGAAGATGTCACGGGTAATTTGATAGTGCGCATGCTCAGTCACTCAGTCGTGTCCAACTCTGTGACCCCATGGACCGTAGCTCACCAGGCCCCTCTGTCCATGGGAGCATCTTGGAAAGAATACTGGAGTAGGTTGCCATTTCCTCCTCCAGAGAATCTTGGCAACTGATGGATCGCACCCAAGATTCCTCTGTCTCCTGCATTGGCAGGCAGGTTCTTTACCACCGAGCCACCTGGGAAACCCTGTCAATTTGATCGTGATCATATTAAATCTGTAGATTGTTTTGGGCATTGTGGCCATTTTAACAATGTTAATTCTTCCAAGAAGAGCATGGAATATCTTTCCATTTCTTTGAATCATTTTCAGTTTCCTTCACTCATGGCTTATAGTTCTCAGCATATAAGTCTTTCACCTCCTTGTCAGGTTTATTCCTAAGTTTTTTATTACTTGATGTGATTTTAAAGGATATTGCTCTTTACATTCTCCTTCTGATATTTCATTGTTAGTGTAAAAAAAATTTGGCCAATTTCTGTATATTAATCTCATATCCTGATATCTTGCTGAATTCATTTATTCTAGTAGTTTTTGTGTGGAGTCTCAGGGCTTTCAATATGTATTGTATCGTGTCATCTGTATATACTGACAATTTTACCTCTTCTTGTGGCTGAGACTATGTTGAATAAAGTGGTAAGAGTGAGCATCCTTGTGAATGGATGTTGGATCATACGGTTTTCTTCATCTGTTGAGATGATTGTGTGGTTTTTGTCTTTTTTCGTGTTGACGTGGTATATCTCATTGATTGATTTGGATATGTTGAGCTATCATGATCCTGGGATGAATCCATCTTGGTCACGGTGTATGATCTTTGTTATGTGTTGCTAATTTCCATTTGCTAATATTTTGTTGAGAATTTTTGCATCTATATTCATCAAGGATATTGGCCTGTAATTTATTATTTTTTTCAGTAGTGTCTTTTCTTTGATTTTTGTATCAGGGTAATGGTGGCTTCATAGAATGTCTTTGGGAGTGTTTCTTCCTCTTCATTCTTTTCAAAGAGTTTGAGAAGAGTTAGTAGAAGTTCTTTCTGTTTGATAGAATTCACCTGTGAAGCCATCTGGTCCTGGACTTTAGTTTGTAGGAAATTTCTTTTAATTACAGAATCTATTGCACATCTAGTTATCAGTTTGTTCAGATTATCTGTATCTTCTTGATTCAATTTTGGTGGGCTGCATCTTTGTAGGAACTTGTTTGTGTCTTCTAGGTTGTCAGGTTTGTTGGCATATAATTAATTGTTCATAATATTCTCTTAATGATTTTTATTTCTGTGGTATCTGTTGTGATTTCTCTTTCATTTCTTATTTTCTTTATTTGGACCTTCTCCCTTTTCTTGGTGAACCAATTTTTGTTTTTGGTTTTTAATCTCTAGTTTCTCTCTGATCTTTATTTCCTCGCTTCTGTTGACTTCAGGTTTTGTTTGTTCTTATTTTTCTAATTCTTTTAGGTAGTAGGTTGGGTTGTTTTGAGATCTTTCTTGTTTCTTAAAGAACTCCTGTATCACTGTGAACTTCCCTCTAAAAACTGCTTTTGCTGCATCCTGTAGACTTTGTATGGTTGTGTTTCATTGTCATTTGTCCCTAAGTAATTTTTAATTTCATTGTTGACCCATTGATATTTTAGTAGCATGTTGTTTAATTCCATGTAGTTGGGTTTTTTGGTTTTGTTTTTTCCATTTCTTTTTCTGGGGGTTGATATCTAGGTTCATGCAGTTGTGGTCAGAAGAGATGCTGGAAATAATTTCTGTTCTGTTAAATTTGTTGAGGCTTGTTTTTGTGCCCCAGCGTGTGGTCAGTCCTAGAAAAGGCTCTGGGTGCACTTGAACGTGTATTCTGTTTTTTTTGGATGGAATATCTTGAGCATATCTTAAGTCTGACTGTTCTATCATTTTGGATTTCTGTTGCCTTATTGACTTTCTGTCTAGCTCTGTCCATTGATGTGAGTGGGGCAGTAAAGTCCTACTGTTGTATTCCTGTAAAGTTTCTCACTTTACGTCTGTTAGCATTTGTTTTATGTACTTTGGGTGCTCTTGTGTTGAGTACATATATGTTGAGGAATATAATATCTTCTTGTATTGATTTTTTAATATCATGTAGTGTTTTTCTTTATCTGTGTTTATAGCTTCTGTTTTGATGTCTGTTTTGTCTGATGAATAGTGTGACCCCCCCCCCCACGTTCTTATTTCCCTTTGCATGAAATATGTTTTTCTCTGTCCCCTCAACTTCCAACCTGTGTGCGTCCTTTGGTTACAGTAGGTCTCTGGTAGACGGTGTGTTGTAGTTTGATGTGTGTTTGTTTTTTGTGTTGTGCTTGTTGTCTTTTTGGCTTTTGTAAATCTGTGCATTGTTGATTTGTGGTTACCCTGTTTTTCAAGTATGTTAATCTCTTCCTATATCTGCTTGCTTTAGACTGGTAGTCATGTAGGCTCAAACATATTCTAGGAAAAACAAGTCAACATTTTTTTACTCCTTCCCTGTACTTTATGATTTTGATGTTGTCTTTTACATTTTTAGTGTTTACCCTTCAGCTATTCATTGTGGTTGTCATTGATTTCACAGAATTTTTTTTTTTTTTCAATCTCTGTACTGACTTTAAGTGATTCACTTTACAGTTGGGTTTTCTCTTGCTTATAGCTTCTTCTTTTCTACTTACAGAAGACTTTTCAATGTTTCTTTTAGCATAGGTTTAGTATTGCTGTATTCAAAGTATAAAAAGTTTTTGCTTGTCTAAGACGTTCTTTGTCTCCTTCTAAATGGTAGTCTTGCTGGGTAGAGTATCAGGTGGCAGACTTTACCCTTCCAGGACTTTGAATACTTGCCGCTCCCTTCTGGCCGCAGTGTTTCTGTGGAGAAATCGGCTGATAGCCATATGGGAATTCCCTTATAGTTAACTCTTTTTTTTTTTTGCTCTTTAGAATCCTCTCTTTAACTGTTGCCATTTTAATTGATTTTTTTTAATGTGGACCATTTTTAAAGTCTTCATTAAATTTGTTACAATATTGTTTCTATGTTTTTTCACTTCAAGAGGTGGGATTTTAGCTCCCTGATCAGGGATTGAACCCTCACCTGCTACATTGTAAGGTATAGTCTTAACTCGCTGGACCACCAGGAAGGTGCCCAGCCATGATGTATTCAAATACATTTTCATCCCCCCCACCCCACCCCCCGCTTTTTCTTTTCTACTAGAATCCCTATACGTTGGCAAACTTTAAATTATCCCACACTTATGTTGCTTTCATATTTTTTCATTTGGCTTTCTTGTCTGCTGTTCTGATTGGGTGATTTCCATTATTCTGCCTTCCAGATTTCTTAGTTGTTAGGAGAAGCAGTTACCTACTGTGGTCTTGGAGGGCTTGTGTATGTGTGTGTGCAGGAGCCTCCCTGTGTAGTAGCCTGAGTGGGTCTACTATTTTTGGAGAAAGACCTGCTTTTATAGTATAGGTGCTGCTGGGTGTCCTGGCCACTGTCCCACTGATGGGGGGTTGTGACTGGTTGAGCAGGGCCTCCCCTCTGTTCCATGGTTGTCACGGCCCTGTCAGGGGAAGGGTCTGCTCCCTCCTGGTCGGAGTGGACACCCCCAGGTCTGTTTCTGAGCTGCAGAGTGAGGTGGGCAGGAGTGAGCGCTCCCCCTGGGAGGGGAGCCACTGAACACCCCTCCACTGCAGCTGTCCACCGGGGAGCGTGCTGCGTGCTGCCACCTGTTGTGCATGCTCAGTTGTGTCCGACTCCGTGGCCCCGTGGACTGACTGCAACCCACCAGGCTCCTCTGTCCATGGGATTCCCCAGGCAGTAATACTGGAGTGGGTTGCCATGCTCTCCTCCAGGGGACCCTCCTGACCCAGGGATTGAACCTGCGCCTCCTGCCTCGACAGACAGGTTCTTCACTGCTGAGCCACCAGGGAAGCCCTCCCGTTCGCCAGGCTCACAGAGTATGCTGTTGTCACGTTGCCCTCAGCCTCACCTCCACCGTGGGAACGCAGGCAATCAGCCCTGGTGTGCCCCACTGCCGTGTTCCCAAAGCTCCCAATGCAGACCTCCTGGAGCCCAGACCCAGCCTTGCCTTTGTGGGCACACCCACCAAGCGCACAGATTCAGGCCTTAGTAGGCTGGGACCGTCCCAGCCACAAGCAGCAGGCCCCTCGGATGTCCCACAGATGCCGCTGAGCTTGCAGAGCTGGTGGCAGTGGCCTGGGTTTAGAGCTGCGCCTGCGTGGGGGTGATCGGCCGGCGCTGGCGGGCTCCTAGGGCTCCGAGAGGCCGTGCTCTGCAGGAGGCTGCCGGGGCGGGCCCACCCACCCACCCTCCCTCCCTCCCTCCCTCCCTCCCTCCACGGGCCCTCTGACCAATGCGCCTTCTGCAGACACGCTTTGCTCTAGGTGCCGTCAGGTCCGCTCCTGTTTTCCTTCCTCTCTTTGGTCATCCCCTGCCCTGGCTGCGTGCCTGCTGCTCTCTAAATGTCCACGTTCTTCAAGACCTCCTCTCCTTTCATCACCTCCCCCACTGACTTGCCCTCCGACAGAGCTGAGTGGTGTCCACATAAGAGGTGAGCTGCCAGTTCAGACATTTCTTCTCCATTCTGGTTGTGGCTGTCTTAACCTGGATGTCTCAGAGGTATTTTAAACTGAATTCTCCCCTCTGTGCTTTGCTTCGTCGTTTGAGTAAATGATACTGTTGCCCGCACAGGTGTTCAGGTCAGTCATCTGAGACTACGCTCTCCTCCCACGCCCGCTCCTCTCTTACCCCGGCGGTGGGGACGGCTGGCCTGCGCGCACCCCCCTCTGCCGCCTGTTTCACTCTGCCCAGGCCAGCTTCAGCTCCCGCGTTGGCTCCACACCCTTGGCAGAGTGGTGTCAGCTCCCCTCCGCCCAGTCCACCACCCCCAGAAGCTGTCAACTCCTCTGGGTTTGCGTTGTCTTGGTGGACGGGCGCCCTGGGCTCCCGGGATGCGTGGCTCACTGCCGACTCTTCAGTCCGCACCGCAGGCTCAAGAAGCCATGTCCCTGCGGTTAATGGTCCTCAGCACTCAGGAGGGCTCCTTCCTGGAAGTATAATTGGTAACTGTGTCTCACTGTGGCGATCGTGCCCTGCGTGTCCCAGACCAACACTCCACGTGGGCAGACGTTTCCCCAGCAGCTCGAACGAGGAGTTAGTCCTTAATAGATGCTCACATTTTTATTGGATGGGTAGACTTTTTTATTTCACTTTACAGCAACTGGGTGAAAATACTGTGTAAAAAAAAGAGAAGCTGTAAACAAGCGTTGCCTCCTTCAAAGCGTAGAACCTTTGACACTTGAGAAGACTTGAGCCGGTTGTGCTGGAGACTCGAGGTTGCTGCGCTGTGGGGGAGGGGGTGCCTCTCCTCAGCCCCAGCTTCCTGCATTCAGCATCTGAAGGGTTGTCTTGAAACCACAGTTGTTGGCATTTATATAAAATTTTTTTAACTGTTATTTCTTTTGTTAGATTAAGGCTTGGGGTGTGTCCTGCTAACTTTGACCTCATGGTGCCAAGTAATGGCTAATGTTTATTGAGCACTTACAGTGTTCTAGGCGCTGTGATGTGAGTGACTTCCTGTCCTCATAAGCTCGCTGTGTGTCAGGTACTGTTGTCCCTGTTCTATCACCAGAGCAGCTTCAACCCAGAGGGGTTCAGCACGGTCACAGGGCAGTCTGGTGACAGCCGGGGGCGTGGCTGCGGGTGGCAGCTGAGGTGGCGGGCTGGCCCCGTCCTGCAGGCCCCGTCTGTGGCAGGGAGGTGCTCGGGAGTCTGTGTGTCCTCTCGGTCTGGAGCAGGACTGGGGGTTTTCAGTCTGGCTCTGCAGGTTTTCAGCTGCCTGTCTTTACACCTCATTGGCTTTTGTCTAAGCCTCGGAAAAGTTTTTTTGTTTAATCCAGCCCATTGAAATTCTAGGACCTGATTTGAAAACAGGTGTGTGACAGAAGGACTCCCCAGATGGCTCAGTGGTAGGGAATCGACCTGCCACTGCAGGAGACTCGGGTTGAGTCTCTGGGTCGGGAAGATCCTGGGGAGAAGGGAGTGGCAGTCCCCTCCAGGCTTCTTGTCTGGAGACTCCCTCAGACAGAGGCGCCTGGTGGGCTGCAGTCCCTGGGGTCACAAGAGTAGGACACGACTGTGAGCACGCACACGTCACAGAAGGAGGGCTTGTGGTTTTGAGCGGCCTGTGCAGTTGATGGAGAATGCAGTGACGGTCTCCCTTAACCTGGTGCAGGCATCCAGGGCTTCTGCAAGGACTTGCTGGAGGTGGCGGACATCTTGGAGAAGGCCACACAGTGCGTCCCGAAGGAGGAGATTCGAGACGACAACCCCCACCTGAAGAACCTCTACGAGGGGCTCGTGATGACTGAAGTCCAGATCCAGAAGGTGTTCACCAAGCACGGCCTTCTCCGGCTGAACCCCCTGGGCGCCAGGTTCGACCCGTACGAGCACGAGGCGCTGTTCCACACGCCGGTCGAGGGGAAGGAGCCGGGCACGGTGGCGCTGGTTAACAAAGTGGGCTACAAGCTGCACGGGCGCACCCTGAGACCCGCCCTGGTGGGGGTGGTGAAGGAGGCCTAGCGGCCCGCGGGTCCCAGCACTCTGTCTCACCCGCTGACTCTTCCAGGGCGGGTTTGTCTTTTCTCACCTATGAATACTCTTGACCTTTTCCTAAACCTTGCTGCAAGGCTTTGGTAACCGGCGGCTCCACAGAAAAGCCAGCCACTTGCGCAGCTGCGTTAACAAACTGGAATATGGGAGTCTGTCTGTCCATTGATTTTTAACACACGTTCCACATGCTTACGGAACAGGCTGAAGGGACACTACTGGACTCTGGGGTATCACAAAAAACACTGTGTCTGCTCAGACTCTGGCGACGTCAGAGTGTTCCAAGTAAATAAAAGGCCTTCAGGAACCGCGTCTGCTGGCTGGCGGAGCCGGCTGCTGTGCGTCCCGCGCGTCTCACTGGCCTGCGCGCTCCCGGCATGCTTGGTTTGACTCAGGCAGTGGAAGGGATTGCCGGGGGAGGTGTATGAGGCCCTTGGTGACAAACGTGATTTGAGTTCCTTTATCATCAGTAACTACCTGCCTGCCGAGAACAGTCACACCTCTGTATTTTGCCCCATTTCGGAAGGTGACGGAATCAGTTACCATTGTCCTATTTTGTTTGCCTCTGGAAATGTTTAAATCTATACCCAGCTAGTGACCAGTGACCTAAAGGTGTTTCCCCTAGTAAGATGGACTTTCCTAGAGAAACCTGAAGACTGTGTGCTTGGTATATTTTAAATGTTACATTTTATTTAAGAGGATTAAAGCCCTGATGTTATTTTCCTACGTTCTGGAAGCTGTTCTGTGTGCTTTGATGGCGGAGATCCTCACGGAAGGACAGTGTGACGTAGCTCTCCGGGTCTGTGCTCAGACCCTGCAGCTGTGTGCCTGATGCCCAGACGTGTTGGCTCATGTTCCGGAAGGGCGAGTGGCTTCCTCCTGGGCTCCCCCTGGCTGGTGCTGGCGGTCGGTGCTCGGGACAGGCCTGGGTCTGCCCCCGACCATGAGAGGACCACGGACGCTCAGGAGCAGCACCATCAGGGACATGTGACTGGCGACCGCTGACCCTGTGACGCTCGCCTTAGGACCCTCCTTCCCTCACGTTAAGGGAAAAACTGAATGACTGAGGTTCTGTTAAAAGTACCAGAGAAAAAGTAACCTTCCGCTCTCTTTGCTTCTGAGGGGTACTTCAGGGACTGAAGATCAGTACAGTTACGTCTATTCACTGCATAGAGATGGGGGGCACTCAAGTTTGAAAGGTATAGGTAATAACCCCATCATTAAAATTGCAAAGAAATTTCCCCTTTTTAAGTGGCTCTAAATCATTTGGTCAAAAGCATAGCCCAGGGATTTCCCTGGTGGTCCAGTGGTTAAGAATCCACCTCCCAGTGCATGGGACTCGGGTGTGATCCCTAGTTGGGGAACTAAGATCCCACATTCCACGGGGCAACTAAGCCACAACTAGAGAATCCGTGCTCTGCAAGGAAACATCCCGCGTGCTGCAGCTACAGCCTGAGGCAGCCAAGTAAATAAATGTTAAAATACATACATATATATACATATAAAAAGGCCTAGTCCAGAACTAAAGGCGGTAGGGCGCCCCGAGGAAACCACGCCAGGAGTCACACTTGCTTTTACACCGCGGCTGTGGGCACATGGTTTTGCCTCTCTGGATGCATCTGTATGCTGAGCGTGAGTAATTCTCACACTAGTTTCTGTGAGTGTCCCCTCTCATCCCTTCTCAGCTGCAGCTGCTAAAAGGTGCTAAACCCAGAGATGGTCTGGCCTAAATGGGAACTGTTTCCTGTTTCACTCATCCACAGTCACCACTAACAGGAAAATATGAACTGTGTCCATGCTGACACCGCAGTTAGAGGCCCGTGGGCTGCACTTGAGTTGGGTTCCCGGCTTTTCCCTAACTGTGGCCTGGATTCGTTGCTCCATGTAGGTTACGGAGCTGGCACTGTATACTCACCATAGACTTCCGCAGCCTGGCTCCACGGAAGCTCTGGGTGTTTCATTCCTTTCTGGGAAGGAGCGCTGGCCTGAAGGGCTTTTCTGCTGAACAGTTTGGAGGGAAAATGGGCGCGATGACCAAGAGCCACAGTAAGACGTGTCACAGGCTGTTCCCCATCCTGATTCTGAGGACTGGCTCACACCAGCTACGAGACTGAAAAGCTGTGGGTCCAGGGGCGGGCAGTAAAGAGCAAGCGGTGACACTTTGGTTCTCAACCTGTTTAATGTGTAAAAGGGAAAAAGGCGGTAGGCAGAGTTTCGGTCTGAATACATTCTCGGAATGCTGGCCATCCAGAGCATCGTTCTGAACAGCTGATTATCTTCTGACTCAAGAGAGTTTTAGTTTTGAAAAGACCTAATTCCATGGGATCATGGTGACTCATTTATCATAAGAATTAAATACAGAAATTTAAAGGCTCCGAGCAAACAGCAGGGGCAGGACTAATCCAACAGTAATAGCTGGAGTTGATGGGACAAGAGGCAACCAATCATAAAATTACTTTTCCCTTGTAACAAAGGGTTCACACTTTTAACATAAATTATACATTCATTATGGTGTTTAAAAACAGTCAAGCCTAAATAAATTCTTCATACCATCGAGAAAAGACACACACACTGAAAACCTGCTTCACAGAACTTCTCGTTTGACAGCTCTGGGCCGGGGCCACGCACATTTTACAGGGAGCTTTTGCTTCTCAAGCTTAGTGAAAGTCTGGCAATCATTTTGTATAAAAATAAGACTTAAATTTAAAACCTCACCAAACTAGGAATCTGATGTAGAAAATCGGTCACACTGAAGTGGCTAAAGCCCACAGTTCTCAGACTTCAGCCCGTGTCCCAGTGACCTGCGAGGCCCCGCCCCACGTGTCCGAGGCCTGGGGGAGCCCCAAGTCCCTGAAGCACTAGCGGATTCCCCGGGGGCGCCGCGCTGTTGCTCCAGGAACCCTGGCTGAGAACCCCTGGAGGGACGTAGCACCATCTCCGCCTCTGCTCGGCACAGACCGTGTCCACACGCCCATCGGCGGTGGTTGCCCTGCGGGTGACAGCACTCAAGAGTGACGCCGCTGCCCGCCGCTTTATGGTCAGAGAGGCCCCGGGTCTGCGGTCAGGTCTCGGGGAGTGCTGCCCTGCCAGCATGCGACGTGGTTCACACCTATAGCCACGGACGACATGTTTGAGCGTCAGGCACTCAGTCGCGTCCGACTCTGCAACTCCGTGGACGGTGGCCCGCCACGGCTCCACTGTCCATGGGGGTTCTCCAAGGCAAGAATACTGGAATGGGTTGCCATTCCCTTCTCCAGATCTTCCCGACCCAGGGATTAAACCCAGGTCTCCTGCATTGCAGCTGGGCTCTTTACCATCTTGAGTCACTAGGGAAGCCCCCAATATACTTGAAGTGTATATTTAATGCTGGAAGTTCACCCTAGGGGACAGACAGAAGGATGTGAAAGGAAAAGGCACCATAATTAAGCCGTCCTTGGAAATGATGAGGTTTTTTTTTTTTTCTTTCTCAAATCCCTTCACTTCAGTGTAACTTCAAGCCCAAGCATTCTGGGAGGTAAACAGTCTGGCAGCTTCGAGGGGTGAGAGGCGGGATGCGCCCCAGGATGACCGGAGCAGCACTGGGGTCTGGCCACTCCCCTGACCCTACAGGAGGGCCTTGGACACGAGCGCCCCGGGCAGCTGGAGGACACGCAACTCCTCAGGTTCCCGCAGAAGGCGCCGTGCCTGTCACGGAAGGGCACCCCCGAGAGCCTCTCTGAACCCGGCTGGGCAGAGCCACGCCAGAGTCTGGCTCCAGGCGGCGGCCCCGAGAAGCAATACCCAGGCCTCCAGGCCACAGGGGTCCCTCTCGCCTAGCCCAGCGCCTGGCACCACACAAGACAAGGCACGTGGCCAGTCTCAGAGAAAGAGGGGCTTGCCACTGGGGTGAGAACCCTGGAAGGAGCTGACCCAAAACCCAGAACTCCCAACTCTCGGTGAGCTTCATTTAAAATGAGTTCTTCCAAGTAAAACACACGGCCAAGTTCTAAGCGCAGCAAGAAGCACCTCCAGGGGAGGAGGCCCCGCATCCCCCCCAGACACCGTGGTGAGCTCCCTCAAAGTGCCACCACCAGCCGTCGTGAGGAAGCTCAGTTTGGCCAAACCGTTCACCACCAGATTCCTCCAGGCCAGTCCCTAGGGATGCCCGTCCCGCCCTTCCCCAGCCTCTTCTCCTGCCCGGCCCGTGCCCTCCGCCTAAAGTGCCACCTGCCCGCCACCGAGGGCAGCCGCGTGGAGCTCAGGTCACGGGGGTGAGCCGGCGGCCGGCAGGGAAGGGCTCCCCTCCGCCCATCTCACAGTCCTGTACCACTGGGAAGCAACAAAAAAAGTATAAATTTCCCAATCTCATCATCATGTATCCACACTGAACACTCAAAGGCAAATCCTCATCTTAAAGTACTACATTTAGGGATTCAGTTAAAATATACACGGATTTTGTCTTCCCCTTGATCCGACTGTTGCTATTGCTTCTTCAGAGGACAGTAAAAAGAATTGATACCCTAAAAAAAGAACTCGATTTGTTTTTTAAAAAAGAGCAACAATGCGGGGTGGGGGGTGGGGCAGAAAAGCGTTTCCTCTCCCCCTCCTGCCCACCCTGTTTCGTTTTGGCTCACAAAGATTTTTTCCCCCTCTTCGCTGTCGGTGTGGCTCTCGCGGCAACCGTCCTCCATCCGTCCGTCCATCCCGGGCACTCCGGGCGGCGGGCTTCAGGAGGCGTCCCTGGATATCCACCCGCTCTCGGTGAGGAAGTTCAGGATCCTCTTCTTGAGGACTTTGTCCAGGTAGCTGGGCAGGCGGCTCTTGGAGGGGATGCCCTGGCGCTTCTGCAGGTGATCCTTGATGATGATGGTCTTCACGGTCACGTAACGCGCGGGGCTCAGGTTGAGCGAGCTGCACAGCACCTTCTCGCGGTCCGACAGGAGCTCGAAGCCCGGCAGGTGCTCGATGGCCGCGAACTCGCCGTCCCGGCCCTCCTCCTTGCCGCGCTTGGCGCCCCCCGCCGCCGCGGCCGCCGCGGCCGCCGCCTTGTTCTCCTTGCGCTTCTCGCGCTTGTGCCGGGCCGCCTCGTACTCGGCCGACTCCTCCATCTTGGTGATGCCGTTGCGGCGGTAGCGCTGCAGCTCGCGGATCTTGGCGCGCAGCATCTTCTCCTTGTGCATGTTCTCGAACAGGTCGTCGAACTCCTTGCATGACATGAACTGGTAGAGCGGCCGCAGCTTCAGCCGCAGCTCCTTCTCCTCCTTGGTGACCTTGCGCCGCGCCGCCCGCTCCTTCTCCTTCTTGTCCTTGCCCAGGAAGGCGGGCACCAGGTTGTAGTCACGCGCGATGTTCTTGCGCCGCTGCCGCTCGCGGAGCTTGCGCACGTACATGTCCACGTGCGCGCGCTTCAGCTCGATCTCCACGTCGTCATCGTCGTAGTTGACCGAGAGCCCGCTGATGAGGGTCTCGGCGTCCTGGTCGTACTCGATCTCGTAGTCGTCCCGCAGCGGCATGTAGCCCAGCTGCTGCTGCTCGGCCACCGAGATGTCTAGGGGAGGCAAGGGGGTGGTGAGGCTGGGAGAGAGGGGGCCCCCACTGGGGCAGGTGTGGTCGGTCACCCGGTTGGGGATGGTGTCGGGGATGCAGGCCTTCCCCAGGTTTCCGTGGATGTACATGCTTACGTAATGCTCCATCACTTCCTGGGGGGTCCGGGAAGCACCAACGTGAGCTGCCATGTCCTCCTGCAGAGACAAGAAGCGATCAGAGGGTCAGGCGCAGGCTGGGCGCGGGGCTCCCTAGGCACCTCCACCCCACAGCCTGCAGGCACCGTGATGTCTGTCCCCCACAGCCACTCTGGCTGGGCTGATACCCTGGATGGAGGGAGAACCTTTGGAGAATCCACCCCCGGAGAAAGTCAGGAACCCAGAAAGGCGCCAATCTGCTCGGAGGGCAGAGCTGAAACCCACATCCCAGACCCCACCCTTTCTCCTGGTTCTCTTAAGAGGACAAGCAGAGGCCACCCGGGCTGGGGCCGCCCTGCCTCCAAGCAGTCTGGCTGCAAGGCTGACAGGCCTGGGTGGGCAGCCATAGCCCGGGGGTGGGGTGGGGGGCGGCCCTGCTGGCCCAGTGACCTCTCCACTCTGAACTAGGAGAACAGATGCGGCCCGGGGCCTCCCGACCAGGGAGGGAGGCTGGCTCACTGCGCCGCCTGCGTCCCAACGCAAAGCGCCAGGCTCCGTCTCTGACGCCCCGGCCCCGGGCCAGTGTGTCCCTTCCCCGGCTGGCGGTCAGGTGACCCGGGAATCGGGCCACCACTTCTGTGGGCCACTGGGGTACAGCAAGCAGCGGAGACCGGCCCGGGCTGCAGGCAGGGGTCACGCCTCCAGAAGGGACCCGCCCTGCGCGCACAGGGTTATTAATGGGAGGAAATTGTACAAGTCCCTCAATCTTTTCCTTCTGCCAAGAGGCCTCTTCCTTAAAGGGAACCACTAAAGCCACTTGAGAAAGCAGCCGCCTGCAGTGTGCATTCGCTCCCAGCAGCCACTCCGCGCCCCGCCGGCCTCACTCCCCCGGCTCTGCCCAGAGACGCTCAGCGCGCGCCCCCCCCCACCCCCCACAATTGGGATGGTCCCTGCACCCCCACAGGCAGAACGGGAGCCCAGGAAACCAGCTGGTCCCCTGGGGGGCTGCCCCTGCCGACCAACCGGGCACAGAGGGGAGGAAGGTGTGGGGAAGCCCCTGGGTCAGTAACGCTCTCCTGCAGCTCAGCCCACCCCAGCTGGTTCCAAGGAGCCTCCGGGACACAAGTCCTTCCAGCAGGAGAGGCTGTGCTCGCCAGGGAGCCGGGGGCGGGGCGCCACCGGCCTGAGCTGCGCTGCCCGTGCCAGGCGGGCGGCCGGGGGTGTGGGAGCCGTATCTGACCCTCGCCAGGGCCCCCCCAGCGCGGTGCAGCTCAGCGCGGGGGCCCCAGGCCTCGTCCAGTGCGGCCCTGCGGGAGAGCTCTGCCCTCGGAGAGGCCACTGCCCCCTGGCGCCCCGGCAGCCTGCCCCCGGCGCCCCTCGGGTGCTCGGCGAGGGGGAGACTCAGCCCGAGGGTGCGGCAAGAGGTTGAGCAGCAATCCGGCGTCTGAGCAAACCAAGGCGTCCCTGTGACCTGTCCGGGGGCCTCTCTGTCAGCTCCCGCCATGCAGATGGAGCAGGCAAGGGCTGTGCGGCCATTCTCTGGCAAGGCTGCCGAGCCCTGTGCGGCCCCACACGCGAGGAGCCAGGAGGTGCGGGCGGCGCGGCCCGCCTGCGCTGTCAGACACTCCCTAAGGGCCCGGGACCGCAGTCCGGTGCCCAGGGCACGGAGCGGGGTGGCTGGGGGTGCTGGGAGGGAGGCCCTCCACCGTCTGCCTTCCAAGGACCGGCGCTTTCCGCTGGACGCAGGTACTGCCCGTTCTGAAAACGAAGGGCAGTCCTGAGCATGAGAGAAGCAGGAGGGGGCACCCGGGCCACTGGGGACCGCTGGGGGGCCAGGACGGGGGCCAACCTCACCGGGGACGCAGCAGCTGGCCCCCACCACAGGCGCCCTGCACGCCCGCGCCAGCACTCCAGCGTGCCCCGGAGACAGGAGAAGTGTGCGCCCAGGGCAGCTGCCTCACAGCGGTCTGCTCAGGGGTTAGTTTCTGGGCCGACACTCAACTTCCTGCCCCAGGAGATGCAAGCCGCTCATGCTGGGGAAGGGAGGTGGAGGTTCTGTGCACTAGTTTTTCACTTTTATCAGTAAAACTAAAACGGACCTTTTTAAAGTTAAATTTTGCCTCAATTCTGTTTAAAAGGTCTAAGATTTTCATCAAAAATTAGTTCAGTTGCTCAGCCGTGTCCGACTCTGTGACCCCATGCACTGCAGCACGCCAGGCTTCCCTGTCCATCACCTGGAGCTTGCTCAAATTCATGTCCATTGAGTCAGTGATGCCATCCAACCATCTCATCCTGTCGTCCCCTTCTTCTGCCTTCAGTCTTTCCCAGCATCAGGGTGTTTCCCAGTGAGTCAGTTCTTCACATCAGTTGGCCAAAATATTGGAGCTTCAGCTTCAGCATCAGTCCTTCCAATGAATATTCAGGACTGATGTCTTTTAGGATTGACTGGCTGGATCTCCTTGTATCAAATACACACACACACACACACACACACACACGTATACATATACCTATAAAACACAGCGTCCTTAAAAGAGAGGACCTCTGTTCCGGGAGGCAGTCCCCGCCCCCAAGGCAGCACACAGGGCGGTTACTCAGGGCTCACAGGCAGGTTGCCCACCACTCTGTGTCTTGCTCCATGAACATCTGCACTCCTGGGGCCTCCACCCCAGTGGAGGCGGACGGCCTGGGATAAGAAGCCAGGCTGTCTCCAGACACACAGGCTGGGTTTCTCCAGCCCTGCCAGGCAAGGGGCTGTATGGCCGTGGGCCCTGCACCGACACCTCGGTGAGCCAGCTCTTCTTCCGTTAACACAAGGGATTTCTGGCTCCAGAGAGACCTGGGTGGTGGCCGTTCATGAAGCCACATCAGTGGGGCTGGTGCCCTGTACCCAGGTCCCCAGGACCCCGCATCGCCGACCACCTTAGCCAATGCCTAGGGGGAGGCCGCTACTCGGGGAGGCTCCGGGCAGTGACTGCTGAGAATCGACCCTGGGGACTGCCACGTCAGCTGGGCGCCAGTGAGAAAGGCCTGGGAAAGCCCCAGGAGCCTGACTTCACGGGCTCTGAGACTGCGGGCCGTGACGGAAGGGGACGGCCCGGCTCTCACCCTAAGAGTCCAGGGAGGACACACAGGTTCCGGGAAGCGGTGACGGACACAGCCCGACAAGGACGGTTCACGCCGGCCGCTGGCCTGGCACCCCACTCCTCTCATCTCACGCGTCTCCGGTCCCCACATGTCAGCGGGTCACACCAGGGGGGACGGTCCCGTCCACGCCCCACAGCGTCCCGTGACGGCAGGGGGCGGGCATGGGCAGTGGGGGAGGTCCTGTCCCTCGTGTGTTCGAGGTCCAAGTTTTTTTGCTTCATCCAGATGGGTGGATGGACAGACAGACGGGACTGCTGGGCGGGCAATGAGCAGCTAAGTTTCGGGGAAAGAGACTTGAAGGGAAAGTTCAAGTACAGGTGAAACGAGCCGGGCACACAGCTGTAGCTGAAGGGGGCCCTCCCGCCGCAGCGCACGGTAACAGCCCCGGAAGCAGCCCAAAGTCTGGAGGCTTGTTTTCCTATGCACGAACTTAAAGGAAAAAAGACTCCCATCTTTAGAACAAGGTGAGGAGAGTTCGGTATGCTGATTCCTGGAGTCATTTGAAAAAGAAAGAAAACGCATCTCTGAGATGCTGCACTGGGCCCTTGAGGTCACCGAAGGGAAAAGATGTAGGGCAGTCCCATGGCGGGCTGGCTAGCTCCTGGGGGCTGCCTCAGGGGCTCTCCCTTCCGGCCGAGGCCGCCCCCACCCTGTGACCCGGCCTCTGCCCACAAATGCCAGCTGCCCTCTCTGCGCAGAGCCTGGGGCCAGGCCTCGGGCCCGGCTCCAGGCCCCAGCCCTTCACTGCTGAGAGACTTGGACGCGTCACTGACTTCTCCACACCTCCTGGTCGGGATTACGGGGGTGCTGCTACCTACCACCTTCACAGGGCGGTCGGAGATTAAATGAGGTAATGCACGTTCTTGGTCCAGTGCTGGGCATGGCTTGGCCCATGGACGCTGGCTTTATTATTCCTACTACGATGCTGTTAGTGTCGCTTCCACGGCCTGTGTTCACCAAGGTCGCCTCCTCCAGGAAGGCTTCCGTGATGCCCAGAGTGAGGCTCACATCCTGGCTCCGTTACTCACTGCCATGAGACGTATTTTTATCGTCTCGGCTCCTGCTTACAATCTATAATTGCTCCTCTTAAGTGTTTTGTTAGGATAAAACACATCATGAACAGCCACAGTTAACGTGTACGGACATTCATGGGTTTCACCTCATCTCATCCTCCGAGCAGCGTCCCCCACCTCCCAGATCGTGAGGACCACCTTGGGCGCGGCCACCCCCGGGGACACAGGCCAGCTCTCACCCACCCCGGCGCAGGGGGCGCAGCCCACCCACAGACAGCCGTGCCAGCACCCCCCTTTCCGGACGGACCAGCTCACAAGCGTGCAGTCTCGGTGCCCTCTCTGACCCCCGGGACATGTGGGGGGCACCGCGGGACCCACTTCTTGCTGGTGCAGAGCATCCAGTCCCGTCTCTGTGCGAACCAGCGCCTTTACCAGGACGACTCGTTCATGTCACAGAGCACCCTTCCCGTGCGGGTTGGTCGGCGGGGCTGCTCTGGAGCACCCTGAAGGGAGCACGTCCTTTCCTGACCAGCCTTGTATCTGCCTGGGGGTTGGAGGCCGGGAGGCTGGCTTCATTCCCGAGGCTCCAGGGCCAGGCCTGGGAGGGGCACGCATGCTACATCCCCCCAGGGAGACATGGCTCCCGCTTTCTCATTCTTTAAAGGAAGAAGCCTCAAGAGGACAGAAGCAACCAGAGGGCCCACTGTGTGGGCAGCTGGGGTAGAGACCCCGGGGGGCAGCCAGGACGCTGCAGGGCCTCGGGGTGGTGGGGGGGGGTGGCGCAGAAAGAGCCGCCTGCCGGGCCAGGAGAGTGCGGGGTGCAACGCCGAGGAGGGGGCGGTGGGCCCTCAGGACCGGGTGAGGTCAGAGCCGTGGGCCCAGGAGGGTGTTTCAGGCTGG